GACCCGCCTGGGCAACTTGGCGAGACCTCATCTCTACAATAAACCAAAAATGAGCCGGGTACGGTAGCGCGCGCCTGTAGTTCCAGCTACTCGGAAGGCTGAGGCAGAAGGATCGCCGGAGCCCAGCAGGTCGAGGCTGCGGTGGCCGGGAGTGGCCACTGCACTCCAGTCTGGGCGACCGAGTGAGACTCCAACTCAAAAAAAAAAAAAGAAAAGAAAACCTAGTGGAATGCCTTGGAAAGATTCCACAAAAGGCAATCTGTCAATTAAAGGTCAACTGAATTAAGTAGAAGACAGGGGCAGAGGAGGATGTCAAAAACATCCAGAACTCTCCACCCAGATTTCTTCCAAGGGCCTTTAAAAAACCTCACTCCACCTTGGAGAAACCAAAGCCCACCACGTGACCGAGGTGTGTGTGCCTGGTTTAGGAGAGGAAGGCCACCCAGAAGCCCCGCGTCTCCCGCTAAGGAGGAAGCTTTGGCCAAGAAAGCAGGGGGCCGGGGCACCACGGGTCCCCGACACGTCGGAGAGGGTGGAAGCTGAGCCACCACTCGCGGAGGTCGCCCCAGGTGGAGTTGGCACCGGGACTTGCCTGGGAGAAAGAAGCTGGGAGGGACAGAAGAGGCAGAGTCTGCCGCAGCAAGGTGTGGCACAAAAGGGAGGGCCCGGCCAAGCCCTAGATGGCACAGCAGGCACTACAGGGTCACCCTGGACCTCTCAGACTCCCGTCCCTCCTCCCACCCCGTCCAGGGCAGCACAAGACTGGAGCCGGGATGGGTCATTAATGTATATTTTTGTCTAAACTTTCTTTTTTTTTGAGACTGTGTCCCTCTGCCACCCAGGCTGCAGTGCAGTGGCACCATCATAGCTCACCACAGCCTCGACCTCCCAGGCTCCAGCAAACCTCCTACCTCCTAGTAGCTGGGATTACAGGCACACATCACCACACTCAGCTCACTTTTTGACTTTTTTGTAGAGATGAGGTCTTGCTACATGGCCCAAGCTGGTCTCAAACTCCTGGCCTCGAGTGATCCTCCCACCTCGGCCTCCAAAAGTGCTGGGAATACAGGCGTGAGCCACCACACCTGGCCTGTATTTTGTTCCAAGTTTTTTCAAGAAAATAAACACAGCACTGAACACGCAGTAGGCCGTGGGCTCCTTACTACTCAGCTTTAGGCCTGGACAAGGAACACAAAAGAAAAATGGGCTTGATCTTCTTCCAGGCTGCAGGAGGGCAAGGAGAAAACCATGTTCTTTTCCCTTTATTTAATATCTGATTTTCCCTGATGTAAAAGTGAAAGGTGGGATATCAGATCATAGTCAGTGAGATCTCAGACTCTGAAGGCAAAATGATCAAGGTTCTAATTCCCTCTTCTGAACAACTGTGGGCAAGTTAACTTGACTTCTGTGTACTCTGATTAAAAAACAACAACAAAAAAGGAATGCCATGGGGTGAGGCATGGGCATACACACTTATGGCGATCCCCAGTCTTGTCCTTGTGCAGAGTGGTTTGGCCTTGGTACCAGGAGTCCTAAAGTCTGGGAAACACCACTTACCGAGTTTTGTTTTAAGGATTTAATGAGGTACTATAGGGCAAAGAACATACTTTGGCACTTGGCATAGAGTAAGGCAACCAGAGGTAGCTCAACTGTTATTATTACCTCACTGTAAGAAAATACACACACACACAAACACACACACACACAAAGGAAAACACAGAGAACACAGTTAGAGCCCCCTGTTATCCAGCACACACTCCCATGCGAGCCCATGGCTCGGCCACCTTCCTCCTCCTGGCCTCTCGCTATGCACAAACTGATCTGACTTGTACAGATGTCCCTTCCTATCTTTTCTGCTTGACGTGATACTGCCAGCACATTCCCAGGGCTCACTTCTTCAAAAACGTGATTTTCTGTCTTACCTCTCCACCAGAATGGCTGCTACCCGTGTTTTTGTATTTAAATGATGTGCGGTGAGTTTCCTCATATAGAGATTGTTAGGCAGGGTGCGGTGGCTCATGCCTGAAATCCCAACACTTCAGAAGGCCGAGGAGAGAAAACTGCCTGAACCTAGGGGTATGAGACCAGCCTGGGCAACTTGGTGAGACCTCATCCCTTCAATAAGTCCAAAACTTAGCCCGGCATGGTGGTGCATGACTGTAGTTCCAGCTACTCGGAAGGCTGAGGCAGAAGGATCGCCTGAGCCCAGCAGGTTGAGGCTGCGGTGGCCGTGAGCGTGCACTGCACTCCAACCTGGGCGAAAGAGTGAGACTCTGACTCAAATAAATAAATAAATAAAATTTTTAGCCATGTTTCAGGTCATTTCCTTAAAATGAAATGGGCTTTCTGGTTCAAAGAGCATGAACTTTAGGACTCCTGGTACCAAGGCCAAACCACTTTGCACGAGGACAAGACTGGGGACCGCCACAAGTGTGCATGCCTATCCCTCACCCCATGGCACTCCTTTTCTGTTGTTGTTTTTTAATCATCATTGCCAATCTGAAATGCAAAAACTGACCAAGATTGATTTTTCCTTTTTTGAGTCGGAGTCTCACTCTCTTGCCCAGGCTGCAGTGCAGTGGCATGTTCACGGCCACCACAGCCTTGACCTGCTGGGCTTAGGTGATCCTGCCTCAGTCTTCTGCATAGCTGAACTATAGGCAGACGCCACCACGCCCAGCTTATTTTTTGATGTATTATAGAGACGAGGTCTCACCAAGTTGCCCGGGCCGGTCTCGAACCCCTGAGCTCCAGCAATCCTC